TGGTGCTCTTGTACATTTCAAAGGTGGAACATGGAAATTCTTAATTGAGTAATCGAATAGTCGATGGAAAGCCCATCGACTATTCGATTAGTTAATCGAAATTTAACATTCCTGTTGTGGACCCTGACTTGCATAGGTACTTACATATGTGCTGCTGCTCTGCTTTCTCTCTCATGATTGCTGCCTCTTCTATGAACTGTTTTTTTTTTTATCTCCCTCTTATTGCTACAAATAGTCTCTGATGGCAAAATGCAGAATTTTGTTTCCCACTGGCAGTCCCTGGGCCTGACCTGGGAACAGGGAAGAAAGAGGGGCCATGCAGGCTGACCGGCCTTAGCCATGCTGTATGGCAAAGCAGTGCTGACATGGAGGCCACCAGTGGGTCTTGTGGATGGGGGGCGAGAGCTGGGGCTGGGAGGAGGGATGGCGAGACCCATCCCCAGCTGGCCATCCCTTGGTCGGGCTGGGAAAATGTCAGCCTGTGAGTCAGATCCATTCCACAGGGTTAGTGCTTGGTGGGCATCTACCTCTATATTTATGTGCATCTCTGCAGGTATTGGGTGATCGCAGTTCTCGTTGACCACAGATTGCCATTTGTGGCCAATGAGAGTGGTAGGAAGCAGTGTCCTGGTCTGCACCACCACCTGCTGCTCCCATTGGTCATGAATGGCCGCAGATCACCAATGAGAACTGTGATTGCTCAATACCTGCAGAGACGCAGGTAACATAGAGGTAGAGGCCTGCCAGGGACTAACTACTGTTGTTTTTTTTTTTTATTGCACATGGCTGCCCTTGGTAGTGCAGCTCCTCTAGTGGTCACTCTGCAGTATAGCTGTTCACTGCGCACTCTGCCAGCAGTCGTGACTTTGAGTATAGTATCCCTCCTCTTCCTGCCTCCTCCCTTTTCATGTTATGGAAAACAGTTGAATTCCAGGCACATCCCATTTTCCTAGAATAACCAAATCCTGATTTTGCTTTAGATTAGGATTAGAGGAAGCTGCATATCACATTTGGTGGTCCTAGCTTGTATCGTTTAGGAGGAGTTCTTGAATGAACACACCCACACCCTCTGTCTCTGTCTCTCTTTCTCTGTGTCTCTGTTTCTGTCTCTCTCTCTCTGCCTCTCTCTCTTTCTCTCTGTGCCTCTCTGCAGGCTAATTGTTAACAGTGTCCTTGAAGGGTTGCCTATTTTCTTTGCAATATCCATGAACAAATCCTTAAGACCTGCTGAGTTAGTTTGGTAGCTTACATAGTCACCAGCTGCTACTTATTTTGTAAATTTAGCTTCCCCCCCCCTCCTCCCCCCCCCCCCCCTTTCCCCTCCGCTCCCTGCCTCTCTCTTTCTCTTCTTCTCTCCCTCCTGCCTCTCACTCGGGGGACCACGGAGCCCAAACAGCTGTTTGGGCTCCGTGGTCCCCCGAGTGAGAGGCAGGAGGGAGAGAAGAAGAGAAAGAGAGAGGCAGGAAGCGGAGGAGAACGTGGGGGGGGGAGGCAGTAGGAGGAGGAGAGAGACGAACAGAGCGAGAGACCGGAGGCTCAGGAGAGAAGACCGATGTGGAGGAGAGACCTGAAAATCCTGTCTTATGACGGGCTAATTGGCTAGTTTATTTATTGATAACACTGCTGGGCCTAGATACATTACTTTTGCAGACCAACTTTTGAACATTTTGCCACTCTTTCTACAATAAACCACTAGAGATGGCCTGTGACGGATTTTAAATAAAAAATTTGTCTTGTGTGTCTTTTTGTTGCTTTATGTCTAAGGAGAGCCTAAAGGTTTTTTTTTTAAGATCTATGTTGTTGTTGTTTGTTTGTTTGTTTGTTTGTTTGTTTTTTAACTGTAAAAGTATCAGGGATGTCATTGTCAACTCTGCTTTTGCAAGATGGACCTACTGGATGTTTTGGAGCATGCATATTCACACATCTTAACTGAAAGGGTAGGCTATTTAATCTTTGACAAAGATTAATTTTCTAAACAATGTTACTCGCTCATTGAATAGACCTTAGGAAAACAAAGTTTGAAAGTGTGGGTAAAAATCCTTTCTCATCTTAATTGTTAAACTTTCACTTTTCAGCTTTTGTGATGTCATTTCTATACTTCTACAATCAGAAGCAGTGCTTAATTTTTGCCAGCACACTTGCACTTGGCAGTTCACAACCCAGGCATCTCTTGGCTTGCTGCATCAGTTATAAAAGTTAAAAAACAAACAAATAAATGTTACTTGAGTTCCACTCCTTTCATTTCAAATTAAGGACTAATCACTAGGCTTTGCCTGCCAGTGTTTCGGCTCCAGCAGAGAGAATGCTAACAAAGGCAAGGCTCCAGGGTGTTACCAACTTTTTTTAAAATTTAACTTTTTATTTAGAAAATTTTATCAAGTTGCATATCCTTGCTATGTAAATATTAGAGACAAAACAATAATTATCACAGTGACATTTTGTTTAGAGAAACACTTGCTATAGTAAAACAGCAATATAATCATCAGATCTCTCCATTTAACAGCGTGTTACCTTATTACATAGTGAAGTTCTTTAGAGTACCCATGAAATGTTTCTGGTGATATTATTAAAACAATAAAAATCTCTGATTGCTCATATATGACAAACCAAGAATGTCTATCAAATGTTAATATTCAAATTAAATTGAGCAGGTGTGATGTGACTTTTTTTTAAATCAGATAAATGTACTTTGTCTCAGTATTGAATAAATAGTAATTAAATATCTAAGTTTCTATTTAGGCTCTATTTGCTGAGTATGTCCCATCATTTGAAGTGCTCCCTAGCCTAACCCTGCTCACAGCGAGTCTATATAATATGCTTTTGTTTAAGCTAGGATAAAAAACCCAAGTGTTAGCTGGGCAAGTTGTATATATTTTTAGTGTACACAAGTGAGTGTAGGTAAGCCCTAGAGTCAGATACATCTGTCCCTATCTATATTAGAGTTTTAAAACATGCTAACTAAAACATTTTAGTTAGCATAATACATTTTAAAGGCTGCACGCTTTATCCTAGACTACATAAGCTCTTATTTTGTAGACCAGCTATGAGCCAGGGTTAGGCCATCCGGTGCACAAAATGCTGATGCTGCCAGTACATTGTAAGTAGCTGAGCCAGTGATAGCAACAATGGAAAATTATCGGAGCAAATGCCAGTGCAGAGTCCAGGGTCTCTCAGGACAGACATGACCTGAATTTCCAATATAAAAAACGGAAATCAAATAAATACCTTCTCTTTGCCCTCATACATCATAAAGAAGCAAAAAGGGCACAGGGCCATTTTCTTTTTCATTTTTAGGTCATCTTTAAAGAATTCAAAGCTTTCATCATTATGTTTATCTATGATCTAAACATTCTTCACATTACTGACTGCAGCACATAAGGTTGGTTCTCATTATTCAACCTACCGTGTGCTAACTTTCTTTTGCAAGATAATTAAAATGTGCCTACAGTAGAATTGATGACCATGGACACTTTATCTCATATTCATTCTCAGCACCCCGTGAGACAAACTTTGTACTTCGTGCTGATCATTGTAAATATTGTCATGCAGGCACTAGCAAGGCTGACTGGAAATGATCAAGGAAAATATAAGCATGACAAATATAATGATCCTGATAAGTTTCCAGGCTGATGCAGCATTTATGACAGGGAGGACAAAAAGATGTAACTGAAGAAGTGGGTTGTCCCACAAAAGCTCATGATACCATCTACATGTTTTGTTAGTCTTTAAGGTGCTACTAGACTATTTGTTGTTTAAGGGTTTTTTTTAGAAATTGGTTTGTGTTATAGAAACTCTTGTAAAGCTACTTGCAGTGGAAATGGCTTTTCAAAAAGGAATTTAAACTCTATTTTTGTATTTGTTATCCAGAACATTATTCTATCAGGCTGTGTCTACACTGGCATGAATTTCCGGAACTGCTTAAAACGGAATACTATTCCGTTTTCAGTTTTTCCGGAAAAGGAGCGTCTACATTGGCAGACTGCTTTTCCGGAAAAGCCCTTTTCCCGGAAAAGCGTCTGTGGCCAATGTAGACGCGCTTTTCCGGAAAAGCCCTTTTCCCGGAAAAGCGTCTGTGGCCAATGTAGACGCGCTTTTCCGGAAAAGCCCTTTTCCCGGAAAAGCGTCTGTGGCCAATGTAGACGCGCTTTTCCGGAAAAGCAGTCTGCCAATGTAGACGCTCCTTTTCCGGAAAAACTGAAAACGGAATAGTATTCCGTTTTAAGCAGTTCCGGAAATTCATGCCAGTGTAGACACAGCCTCAGTGTCTCATCAAAGGGATCCTTACTATCTGTGATGGAGTCCTGAGAACCTTTCTGGTTCTCTCTTCTAAGGCACGTGATATACACTGGATTTCTCTCACAGCCCATTATCATTGCTAGCCATAGGAGTGCAAAGTAGGGATGCAGGGGCGCTGTACCACCACCAGGATTTCCTCCCGGCTTGCCCATGCCCAGGGGCCAGTCCCAGATCCCATCATACCAGAGTCCCGATGTTTGAGCAGCCTCTCTCGGGTTCTGCCACCCACTGTTCCTGGGATTCAGTGGGTCTATAGGCTGCACTGTTGCTCCTGGTCCTGTCATCAGCCTGGGGCTCTGCCGCTGCCTTCAGCTGTGGCTAAGTTGCCAGCACTCTCTGACTGGACAGACCGAACACCATATTCAGCAATGGCAGAGTTGGCAACCCTAGGTGTGACCCTTCCCCAGCAAAGTTTCGGGGGGGTGGGGGGGATGGGGGGCACCAAGCAGGCGAAACCAGAATTATTTTCTTTTTGAAATACATTCTTAAAAATAGTTATGGTACTTCAAATGGTATCTTTTTTGGTCCTTTGTTAATGGTTTTTCATTAACCTAGTTTTGGAGAAACTAGACCCCCGGTGAATATTTTCATTATGGTCAGTGGGTTCATAGGAATTGTGTCAGTGTAAACATAATTTCACTGCCTTGAACTTGTTAAATTATGTGACTGTGCCTTGTGTGTACATGGATTTTCTTCTCTTTCAGGTCAAGCAAACAAAGTTGCCAAGGAAGCAGCTAACAGATGGACAGGTGGGTATGCATTTACAATGCTCAACAAGATTTCTAATTATGGTGCTTGAGTATAGCAGAGCTCAACTCATAGTTTTTCTTGGTGACCTATAGGGCTTTTAAATTGTATATAATTTTCCGGTAAGCTTCTAGAAGTGCAGGGAAATAACCTCCCTAGAAATGTACTTACATAACTCAAAATCTAATGGCGTAATTTTTCCCCCCAAAATGCACAGCAAGACTACCTTTCCTTTAAAAACTTAGACTGCAAGATTTCAGTCTGGAATTAATTTCCACAGCTGATATCAGGAAATTTCAATAGCAGGGGTCCCTTAATGTTAGTGATATAGTTGGCATTGGCATAATTTTTAAGCTGCACGGAAAATCCCAGTTCCATATAGAGATACTTTGTCTTTAGTCTTCGTACAGATTCTAATATGTATGTAGAGCAGGGGTGGGCAATAATTTTTTTCCGGAGTCCACTTCAGAAATTTTTGAAGTGGCCCCAGGCTGCATCAGAAGGGGCGGGGCCTCAAGTGGAAGGGGTGAGGCCAGGATACTTTCCTGCTTCCCTACCCACAGACCATGATTAGTCTGGGGGTGGAGGAGCGCCTTTGCCCCCTCCCAGAGATTCCCCATAGGTGCCTATGCCCCTGGTGCTGGGAGGAAACTTTGCATGCTCCCTCTTCTGTCCCGAGGCCAATCAGGGCTTGGGGGTGGGGAAACGTGCAAAGTCTCCTCCTGCCCAGCCAGGAGTATGTGGCGCTTCTAAGTGCCACGTGCTCTTAGCAGGGCGGGGGCAGTGCAGAGGAAACTTTGCGTGCTCTCCACGCCCTGAATGGCCTGGGAACAGGGGAGTGCACAAATCCTCCTCCCACCCTGCCATGACCACGTGGCGCTTTGAAGCGCTGTGCGCTCCTTGCAGGGCAGGGGCAGGGTGGAGGAAATTTCGTGAGCTTCCCCCAGTCCCTAACTGGGGGTGGGGAAACAGCAGGAACTCCGCAGGCCAGATCAACCCGCTTGGCAGGCTGGATTCGGCCCACGGAGGCCCTTTTGCCCACCCCGAGGTAGAGTGATAAAGTAATTCTTGCTTAGAGCAGTTCATTTGATCAGTGTTATAGATGTAATCTATATACTGTTAGAGTTTTGAAGAAGATTATTTGCATTATGTGCATATGAAAATATTTTACTCATTATGTTCCCTTCCCTTTTGCTCTGCTGATAATTTGCTGATATTACCCGTTAGTAGAACAAACAATTTGTGTTTTCTTTTCAAAGTTTTAATTATGGGGATACTGTGTTTGGTCTCTTACAATTATTCAGAATGTATCCCTATATGCTGCAATAGGAGTTGAATAGCCCAGTCTTTTCTAGAAACAGAGCAATAGTAGGCAATAATTTGCATTCCATACTTTCTAGAAAAGACTATTTAATGACTAATACTTATTGTTTATATCCAGTCTTTTGAACAGAATTATTGTGAAACAGAAAAAAGTGTTTCAATTTTAAAGATAATTTCTGTATGGGTATTGCGTGTTATCAAGACTTCTGTTTGCTATCATCTGTAAAACTTGTTAATTGTTGTGGCATATATGTGCTTAATAACAATTGTATAATCAAACATCTGTTGGTAAAACTTGACTTAAAAGATAGTATAGAGTAGCTTGATAGATAATTCTTCTTAACCAATACAATTGTACAATTAGAGATTAGCATAATAATCAAATCATTTTTATATTGAAGATGTAATGTACAATATAATCAAAGCATACTGAATAATTATGATAAAATATAATAATCTAATACAACAAAATTTACAAAACTTGGGTATTTAAGTACACTTTTTTATTTTTCCCAAATTTTTCAGACTAAATTCATATTGTGCAACCCCAAAAGGGAAAAAATGTCTTACTTTGTAAATAATTATGACTAGCAGTGAGCAATTTAGCACTAATTCTAAAATTACCTTATATAGTATTATCCCCATTTTATTTCATAGTTAAAATACATTTACTAAAGAAGTAATTTTGCCTCAAGGAGTTTACTTAAAAAACCTTGGTCTTGTGCCTTTATTTGATACTTTATAACAATATATGCATTTTCTAGATTGCAGTATTTTACCATATTTGTTCACAGTTGTCTTCTGTCAAGCTAGATGAAACAACAGACCAAAACTTAGCAGTCAAGTATGGAGCAGAGCAAATCATGTTCAGCTTCATCCTGGTTATCTTATTTAACCGTTGAATAGTGGGGAGGATGTATTCAAAATGACTTTTTAAAGAGCCATTAACTAAACTAGTCCTTTGACCAGTGCTCTCCAGTGTACTGGTGGTCATTTAAAAGTCACCCACAATATACTGCTTCCTGAGTCTGTATTGGAAACTGTTAAGACACAGCCCTCATGGCATTGCAAGTCTAACATTTTAGAACAGTGCATTGCAGATGCATGGCAAAACTTGCAAAGATTAACATGATTCGATATAGATTTACTGAACTGTTTACCTTTACATGAGTTCCAAGCAATTGAATCAGTTACAAATGCTAGGTTTTCTAGTGCACACCAGCCCTAAAATGACTGGAGATCAGGTAAAATGATGACCTGATCAGAAGCAAAAGATGGCTGGGTAATTGAGAGGAGAAAAATTCTTCATCTGATGACTCATGCACATTTCAGTTTGGTTTTGTTATATCTATTTGACTTCACTGATTAACACTTCGTTAACAACTTTAAACTGAGAGCACTCACAGAAAATGTGCATTCTATTGGGCATTCAGCAGGTTCTTAGGTACAAGTATGGGAACACCAGATTTGATATTGCTGATGTTTCTTGGATGAAAAGAATCAGACAGGAATTGCTTTTTAAGGAAGTGCACACCTTTTCACATTTCTGTAATCAAATCTTAAAAAGCAGCCGTCCTCAAAGTAACAACTGCACGAGCCCAATTTTCCTAATCTTTTAAGTAATATTTTAACTATACAAAATAAAATAGCTGCAGAATTTATAATTCAGGACATAATAGTGACTAAGAACTTATTCTGAGCTGAATTTTACTTATTCACATATTTTTACCAAACCCATTTGCCTCATTAGCATTTGTAGCAGTGCTCAGTTACTCCTGAATCTAGTGCCACCCTTCTGCTTGTGAACTGAAACTTTTTTTTTCCCACTCTGTTCACAGATAATATATTTTCAATAAAATCTTGGGCCAAACGGAAGTTTGGATTTGAAGAGAACAGAATTGACAAAAGTTTTGGGATTCCAGAAGACTTTGACTATATTGATTGATGTATTACTGACACGTGTACATAGCTTATTTATAGTGCTCAGTTGACATTTGTCTGCATTGCTTTTCAAAACAAAATCAAAAATCCCCTTGTATTAGTTGCACTTTTCATTAATGTTAATAAAATGTAAAAAATACATTGTCAACTTTTGTTTTCTTCACCCCCGTTTCCCCACAGTTGCTAGGTGTTTGGTTTTGAACTGGACAGTCCAGTATTTGAGCTTTCTGAAAAAATATAAATTTTCTGAAAAAATACAAATTGAAAAAATATAAATGAGAAAATATAAATGTCCGGTATTTTCTAAATAAGATGTAGTGTTGATTGTGATGTAATGTCAAGTGTGCCCAGTATTTTTGTTGAAACAATCTGGCAACCCTACGCCCCCTTCACTTCCTGAACTCTAAATTACCCAGTGCCAGGGTGAGAGAACCCAACTATCAGAGAAGATTGTATTAGGGAAGTTGTCATAAGGTCCTGGTCTTCATGCATCTAGTTGATTGTCATAAGAAGCAGTCCAATCACAGGGAAACCAAAATCTCCAAGTAATTTTCATCTAGGCATGTTTAGCAGTTCAATACTGCTGAAGAGTCTGTGGAATGGGAATAACATTAGAGGACTTTGAAGGAAGGAGGATTCCACTGATCTGAATGAGGACGAACCATCCTAATCAACCAATACATGTCTACCTAGCCATGTGCATGAGTCACAAACTCTGAAATGTGAATAAGGATAATTAAGTCGCAGAGAGTAGACAAGTTGATCTGGATCATTTCATCATAAGAAATAATGACTAAAACTGTTAATCATCCTGGGGGTGTAGTGTTCAAGAGCTGATGGTGGGAAGTCAAGTAGGGTAGGCTGCTTAAGGAACAGTGAATAGACCTTGACACAAGAAGATTGGATAGAGGACTTGCTTCCTGAAAAGCAACAAGTACAGTCAATTGAAAAGACCCTGAGAGGAAGCAGGACATATGTCATACAATATACTACATGAGCTTGGTGATGGTCCACTGGATGTATCATTGTGTGGCCACGAGAAAGGACTGATCCCAGACAGTCAGAGGTGCTACTCATCATGTGTTTCCATAATGCAGTGGTCTTAAAACTTTTGAATGGGTGATTCCTGTCACACAGCAAGCCTCTGTGTGACTCCCCTTATAAATTAAAAAAGACCTTTTCTATATTAACATTATTATAAATGTTGGAGGTGAAGTTGTGGTTTTGGGGTGGAGGCTGACAGCTTGTGACCCTATTAGTGAACCCCTACACTTCTATTTTGTGTAGTTGCCCTGGGTCCTGTCTCCTTGCCAACACGTAAGTAGACTTTATGAACCATATGCTTCTGTATATGCCATTTGGATGGCTTTTGTCACAAGTGTCATAATTTTTGCTTTGACAGACTAATAAATTATTAGCACTTCTGTTTGTTCTTGCAGGAGATGTCTACATGGACTTAAATTCAGGCCTTACCTACGTCTTCTTCCCCTACATTTAACAAGTGTCCATGCTGTTAAGATAACTTCCAATGAACTGTCGCATCTGTGTCCTTGTTTACTTTCCTCTTTCACCCTTTCTTTTTCTGAGAGTGCATTCGGGTGTTACTGGTAAACCTGAATGTCTCTATAGTAACTCACTTTGGAGGTCTTGTTTGATCAGCGTGTGGGAGTCATCTGGAAAAATCTCTCTCTCTCTCTCTCTCTCTTTCTCTCTCTCTCAGACCCTCATGATCTTCCACACCTAGCCCCCTTAGCAATAGCATCCAGTACTTTAAGGCAATATGCAGAATGCAGCAAGCCAAAATAGTATTTCACGTTGTTACTGACTTCTGGAGCTAGATGCTACCAGATGTATGTATCTCAGTTTCAAGGTACTGAAAGATCTCTCTGATTGAACTGACACCCTGATGGGTAGCACCACAATTTAACTCTTGGAGATTATTGGGAGTTTGCCGCATAAATCATGAGCCAGGTTTTCAGAAATTAGGTTTTGTCTGCTACAAGCAAACTGTGAGAATTTGGCCAACATTCCCTGTCTGTCTCTGCCTTGATTAAATTGCTAATGTTGGCAAGAGTTCTATTGGAAAAATGAAGTTATGTGCAGAATTTTACTATCAGTGTGCAGAATACTTTTTTTCATTTGTGCAGAGGCATTTGTGAATAGGAACCACCAGTAGAAGAAAAAATATATAGATGTGGGTGCACTGCTAATCAGAATCTCTCCTGAGTGGCTGCGCAAGTTCACAGCTTACAAGGAACACTGTTCCTAGGTATTGGGCAGTTTTGTCTAAGACCATATGATAAACATTGCCAAGGATATATGTACTAATTGGATTGGAACTTTTTTTCTCTTCCTGTGGGTGACTTTGATGGCTGAGCATAGCCTGGCCTAAGGAGACTGTGTATGTAGTCACTGATACAGGAGATACGGAAACTCCAATGTCAGAGACCTAGCTAGTTGACTTATTTGTGCAGCCTTTCCCAGAGTGGTTATTACATTACTCCTGTGTAATGATACCACTGAGAAATGCTTATTACAGCTTAGAGTGGGAGACTTGTCTGATCCATATGGTAGTCCCCAGAACTCTGAAAGATTCCCATGGGAAGGGACTCCAGGGTGATGGTGATGTGGTTAGGGCACAGATCCTCTGTCTGCCTCTTCCAGATCCTCCAAATGTGCAGTTGAACTGAGAATTTGTCTCTGTTAACTCCATGCATCCCACTGGTTGCTTATGGGCCCTTGATTCTTGATTCCTGGACCTTGGGGTGTATAAGACACTTTTTTCCCCTCCTTTCTCTCTCTCTTTCTCCCATAGCCATTTATGGTACTGCAGCACTGTGAGAGACCCCCATCTATGATGTAATAAACCCAGTGCAGTACTTAAGTGAAGCAACGGTGGGTGCGAGGGTCCCTCTATTTGCTTCTGCAAACATGATGGTTAATGGGGCGATGCAGTGAAAGCGGTGGACTTTGCAATTATTGCAGGATATATCAGGTGCAAAGTGAGGTGCCAAAATAGGTGTCCACATGTGCATGAGTGCAGTTGTTTGAAAATTCCAGGAGCAGATGTAGATTTTTGGATATCCTTTAATATATCCTTCCTGCCAAGTGCACAAATAATAAGGTGTCATTCATCTTCCAGTTGCGTCTTCGATAGAAAATAGAGAAAGCACAGTTGACATTTGCACCTCTTTTTGGAGGACAAAACAGTGCCCTAGAGTGACCCCCACCCACCCACCCATGTGCTGCCTAGGCTTATCTGCCCAGGCTTATCAGGTAGTTGACTACTCTCTTAATCCCTAGTCTCCATTAGCTCTAAAGTTTTATTATTAATGTAATTAGTATGTAACAGTTTGAATTTGGCCCCGTGTAATTAACAGGCAGTCTTGGTATAAGCTAGACCAGTTTATTTAAATGGAGTTGCAATTGCTCTGACTACGGTTGGGTATATTATATTAGAGGCCCGTAACCATCATGCGATTGAGCATTTCTAAATTATATTAAAACAAAGTGTTAACCCAGTGTGTGTCTACAGGGTTTTGAGTGGTTCTCCTTTTTCTTGGAATTTGGATTGTGCTGTGGGACACTGGCAAATTCAAAGCTATTTTTTCTTATCTGCTGTTTATTGAATTTATCTGAAAGGCCACATCCTTAATGGAGAAATGCCAAAAATGAAAGTAAAACTGTTCTTTGCTGCTGCTGACCCTAACTGTGGTGTCTGAGTTATTTGGCATAATTCCAATTAAGAGCACGTATGTGCCATGTGAACAGTGGCTCAAAAGGCCTGTGTGTTTTGAAGCAGTGCCTCCCAAACTGAGAGCCATGGCTCCCTTCAGAATCATAGAGGGCTCAGGTCAGAGCCAGGAGTATCTAAGGACAAAAACTGACATTTGAATTTTTGTTTCTTTTCCGATTAAGAAACTATTAAACTAGGCTTAGAAGTCATTGATTTGTTTTTCCTGCTGCAGCCCCCAAAGTTGGGAGCCTTTCCACAGAGAGCCCCCTGCAGAAGAGGAGAGCACAGAGACTTACTGCTCAATGTTTACTCCAGCAGGATGTCTCTGCTGAAGGTCCCCTGCTGGAACAAATAGCAGAGAGGATTCCAAAGCTAGCAGTGGTGCCATTACCAGGTAGGGGGCTGAGGGAGTCACAGGTATGTCTTCTTATTCTAATGAAATGAGACTATCAAGTACTTAGCCTACATGTAGCCAACATGGATCAGGAGAAACAATTTAAAAAAAGTAAAACAGAAAAGGAAGAACAGTAGAGAATGTGATGGTAGTTGCATTGTGTTTAGGGACTTTGTGTTTTTGTAATACTGTGGAAAGTCCCTACAGACATAATTTTATTTGTTTGGAAATTTTAATAAATGAGCCCAGGGATATTTGGAAACCAAGCATCTGGGATTTGTGTTTTTTTTAAAAAAAGTACTTCCCCACCCCCTAGAAATAAGACAAACAAAAGCAGCAAAATATAGCCCCAGGCATGTCTAAAGAAGCAGTTGTGCCTCATCTTCTGTTGTGACCATGCTGATTGTAATATGCAGACAAGCCACTACACATCATTGACGAGACCCTACTACTTGCAGCAGCAAAAGACATATGTAGCACTGTAATTAGCGAACAAGCAGTCATAGCACTGACAATATTTCTCTTTCAAATAGTGCTGTCTGCTGACACATTGATGACCTTGCAGAAAACTTCACGGCCCAGCTGACAGAACAAGTTACGGAAAGTCAGTGTTTCGCATTGCAGCTTGAGGAATCCGCAGTCATAGCCTACGTGACTCAGCTTTTGGGTTTTGAGAGATTTGTCAAAGCTGGTACAATAAATGAAAAACTTTTACTCTGTAAGCAAATCCCAACCCAACCAGCTGTTGAGAAAATGGTCACAATCCTCACTTTAGAGTGGAGAAACCTTAACTGGGTTTTGTATCTGGGGTTGTGCACTGCTGGGGGAGCAGCCCTGCTCAGAGAGGCTCCGTCTACACTACGAGTTTTACCACAAGAGCCTATGCAAATGAAGCGCAAATTAGCATTTTCTTGTGCTTCATTTCCATACTTCTTCCAATCCATTTTTGTGCTGAGGGTTTTTGTGCAAAAATAAGCAGAGTGGAATTTTTGTGCAAAAACCCCTAGCG